TGTACGTCCGCAGACACATTCTGACAGCACTTCAGACAGCAGCTTTGTGCCCCGCCAGCTTCTTGTTCCATGCCTACCATGGTGTTTTTGTACAGACAGCACTTCAGACAGCAAGTATGCTGTAGTCGGCAATCATTCGTTTTGGTACAGAGTGGGACAGGTAGGGGGTGATGTTACTGTAGTCGAACGGTGAGACGGACGTGTAGTTCAGTTTTGGGCACGCGTACGGTGCTGCAGGGATTATATATAGGTGTAGTAGTACCTCTTCGGGCTCTTGTATACCTTTTTCTTGCTACGTGTGCGTGTTCTTTAGATCCTCAGATGGCTCTAGCATTTTCGTGACCACGGGCCGAGAGTCTTTGCTAGATTTTGGCATTTAGCAACTGGCAAACGGTTTAATGTGAAGTCAACAACAACAACAACAACTTTTAGTACAGCTCCCGATACTGGAATGTACTGTACTGACAACACGGCCCTCAGTACTGTACTGTACTGGCTGCTTTAGTACGGACTTCAATACTGGAATAAAAGTACTGTACTGTACTAAACACCCTTGCATTACTTTACACCTGGATTCCTTTGCCAAATAACCTTACTTTTCAGGATGGACCAAAATCCGGCTGAACAAAACTCCGGGCGTTCTTACAGTAACCCGGATTCCTGAGGCGGATTGTTGGGAGGTGGGCGTAGATCAAACCAGACTTTTCAACAGACAGCTTGTGTCCACGCAGACAACGATTTCGAAGGATTGGATCAACGCGCTGCCGAACAACTCTACTCCGGCAGAGAGCAAGGAACAGAGTGCACGCCGTGATCGGTCTGGTTTCGATCGGGAGCCTAGGGAGCCAGAAATCAGTTGCAGTGTCCTCCCCTGACAAAAAGCGGCTCTTTTTTGCTGTCTCGTGGCGGTTTGGCCTGTTTCAGCGTCTCCATGCTTGGTGTGATGCGATATGTTTTTTTTACGCACTCGTGCCGAGCGACCATCAACAGCCAGCGTGCAGAATAGCAAGCCTTTCGGCGTAGGGTTGCTGGGAGCCCTTGATGGGAGCGATACGTCAAGAACTCAGGTCGCACTCGATGATGATAATGTCGTCTGGGTTCACCCAGCGGTGAACTTTTGGGATGAGAAATCTGGGTGGGCACCATCCTGATTTCTTCCAAACTTTTCGGGTGAAGGCCGTACAACCCTTCTTCCCCTCGCTGCCTCGGCAAGATGTTGCTCAGGCATGACCCATAGCGAGGGGGGGGTCTTTCTAGCGAGCAGGGCTAGACTCACCCTCAAGGGACCGATACCTTATTGCTGCGGCGC